TGAAGTCAGAAAATCAAGATTTGTGATTTCGTTTTTTTTTTATTTCAGTGAAACACACAAACACCCGAGATCTGTGAGACTGTTTGTGTGTGTGTGTGTGTGTGTCTGTGTGTGTGTGTGTGTGTGTGTGTGTGTGTGTGTGTGTGTGTGTGTGTGTGTGTGTGTGTGTGTGTGTGTGTGTGTGTGTGTGTGTGTGTGTGTGTGTGTGTGTGTGTGTGTGTGTGTGTGTGTGTGTGTGAGAGAGAGTGTGTGTGTGTGTGTGTGTCAGCTCACTGCTGCATTTTCAGGCTTTGTCAAGATTATTTCTTTACACTTGGCTTCACTTCCTAACACACACACATACACACACATACACACACACACACACACCCACACACACACACACACACACACACACACACACACACACACACACACACACACACACACCCCGGGCTATCTCTCTCTGCTCTCCTTTCTTCGTCTCTTCCCCTTTTACTCCTCTTCATTTTCTCTCCTCCTCCTCTGTCACCATGGCTGCATTCATAAACACACACACACACATAAACACACACACACACACACACACACACAACACACACACACACACACACACACACACACACACACACAAACACACACACACACACACACACACACACAAACACACACACACAGACACACACACACGAACACACACACACACACACACACACACACACACACACACACACACACAAACAGGGTAAGTGGCTGCACAGATAATGACCAAATGAAAGAGAGGGGTGGACTGTGGTTGGTCGGTGGGTTGGCACGGAAACAGAAAACTAGTCGAACACTGTGACACACCAACACACACACACACACACACACACACAGTAAATAGTGTGTGCATTCAAAACCAATGGTATTTGTGTGTATATAATTGCATGCATGTGTTTGTGTGTTTGGTGGGCAGAAATAAAGGACAGAGGAACACATCGCCTCCCCTGCTGATTAGCTGCAGTATAGCTCATAAGCTCCGCCTCCTCCATGTTAACAGATTGGACATAAGTCAAACTATAAAATCTATTAAACATTGTTTCGATAGTTAATGATAGTTATTATCACGTTATTTAATATTCAAGGCATCTGAGAAGTTTCTTTTTAATAGTTACTTGATAAAATACTATAAAAGAACATGATTGACAGCTGTGTTGACCAATGAGGCTCCTGCAAACTTTGTGCAGCGGATGATCAGAGTAGAGGAGGAACGATGAGAGGAAACATAACAAACACAAGAGTCATTTAACTTTCCAGAATATTAAGTGTCTGCAACCTTTGACCTTTATGCAGGAAGTTTAATTGCGCAGCAGCTCCACCAGCTGATCTGAACTGCAGACTCTGGTTATAAATTCACAGAATGCCAGCGTCCGTGACAGGGAAGTTACGTCATCCTGTTCAAGTGGAGGTTGAGGCACGTTGTTCATGTGTATATACAGTCAGTCCTCATAGAGCCCCATGTTAAAATGTCCAACTTTACAGCTGCAGTTCCTCCAGTGTCCACTAGAGTCTGTCTCTTGCAGTGAGTCAGTCCCCATAGAGCCTCATGTTAAAATGTCTAACTTTACAGCTGCAGTTCCTCCAGTGTCCACTAGTCTGTCTCCTGCAGTGAGTCAGTCCTCATAGAGTCCCGTGAAAAACATCACACAAACTTATATTCATAGGTGAATAGGAATCAAATAATTCCACCTTAAACCTCTTAAACAATGTGTGTGTGTGTGTGTGTGTGTGTGTGTGTGTGTGTGTGTGTGTGTGTGTGTGTGTGTGTGTGTGATGAGCACATTGACAACTGTAATGCTCTGCTCCCCTTACCCCCCTTGTCTCACACGCACATGCAAACGCACACACACCTGCAGCTCCGACCTGCCCAGGTTCACCATGGCAACAAGCACAGAAACCTCTCAGCTGTAAAGATCTCTTTTTTTAAACATAACAGAAACACTTTCAGCGTCACAGGGGACGTCTCTGAGGGGACGTGTAGCAGCGTCACGGGTTTGATTCCCTCTGAGGGGACGTGAAGCAGCGTCATGGGTTTGATTCCCTCTGAGGGGACGTGAAGCAGCATCATGGGTTTGATTCCCTCTGAGAGGACATGAAGCAGCGTCACGGGTTTGATTCCCTCTGAGAGCATGTGAAGCAGTGTCACAGGTTCGATTCCATCTGAGCTTTGTGGCTTTTTGTTCATGTGATTAAGTATTTATGCACAGCAGACAGTCAAGCATCGTTATGTCAGGCTATCGGTCTCAGTGGTACCAGAACATCAGGGTGGTCATCTCTCTGCTGGCCTTATCACTCCAACAATCCGACTGCCCAAAGCCCAAATGACGGGTGTTGATTGGGGTTATCAATTCAGTTAGCCCTGCAGCTAGTCCCCAGCTGCCTGCAGCTTTCATAGTAGCCTATGAAAGACTGTGTGGTCAGTGACATCAGAGCACTGGATTCTTGAAGTTGATTACTTAAAGTAATCGTTCACTATTGTTGACTGAACAAACTCTCAGTTTTTCATTACAAACTGGTTAATTCACCAACACAGCCCCCCTGGGGGGTGGGGGATCCATGCAGCTTAGGTCTGTACCCGTCACACCAAGCTAACTGTTAGCCTTAAACCTCTGGAAGATGTGCTGGGGTAGATTGTTAAACAGAATCCATTTCAAGAGCAGCAGGTGAGTCCGAGTCTGTCGGGACAGTTAGGGCGCGGTCACACTGGCAATCCGTACCGTGCCTAAGAACCCTTCCCCCCTAAAGTCGGGTTCATTTGAGCAGTGTGAGCGCTCTGTGTCGTACTAACAGCACGCTGTGACACGGTAAAGTTCATGCACGAGGACGCAGGTAAACAATGTGGACAGCCTTCATTCAGTCTGTATGTGACTCAGAGTAAAGACAGGAAGCTGTCATGTTCTCTGACCGTGCCTCTCTTTTATTTATTGATTTTATTTATGGCTGTATCTGATAAAATGTCAGTCCTCTGTCATGTTCTCTGATGTGCCGTAGCGGACTTGAACGTGCGTCTCTTTTTTTGTCTGTTTGTAAACACACTTCATAATAACATAAAACCATAAAACATGTGCTGGTAAGACGTTATGTTCAAGAGGTAACCGTGCTTAGGCCCGGTTTGTCGGTACGGATTGCCAGTGTGACCGCGTCCGAAGATTCAGGTATCACTACTATGTTACAAAGAGGAGGTTATTTATACATTGTATTTCTTAATTTTACTAAATGTTAAGATTTCTGTGTGGATCTTATTTGCTAACATATTTAATCTTCTCAGTGAATGTTTGTTTTACAAACATTTTAATGCCTTCTTTGTCTTGATGATGAACGTCTCACTGAATTTGGTTTTAATTTTATCTGAGAACTTTTGCAATAAAACAACATCTTGTGTTTCCCATCATTTCACATTTTAATATAACAATAATTAGGCTCTTATTTTTGAAGGTTTGTTCTGTCTTAAGCTGAGAGTACTTTACTTGCTATGTGCTTTTATTTTGAAAAACAGCAAGGCCTTTCCTGTAGGTGGAAGGTTAGGACAGGAAGTTAAGTACAGAAACAGGAAGTGGTTAGGGATCCCAAAGTGAGGTCAAACAGCTCAAAGGAACGGTAACAAAGGTCAATGTGTGATGTCATAAGGTCAATGTGTGATGTCATAAAGTGGATATTACTTTGGACTCGTCAGCTGATCTGTCTGAGAGTTTGTTGAAGTGAAATGAGACATTCAAAGATGCAGCACTGTCCTTCTTTTACATCACTGAGACTACAGGGAGACACTGAGGACCACTATCTACGGAGAGCCTGAAGGGACAAACATGAGAGTAATGTGATTAATGCAGGCCTTAATTAGTCCAGATTAACTCGGTAATACTGAATCATTTGGTTAAAGTATACTAGGCTTTATTTCTAAAGTGACAGAACGACTGACGTGACAAACGATTATTCGCTCTGACCGCCGTTCACATGAAGACGTTAAGTATTTAAGGGTCATTTAGATAACTGACTTTTTGAATTAATATGAGATCATCAAGATGAATGTTTAACAGACTTTTCATATAAAGCTGAGCTCTGAAGGGGGGGGGGGGTCATTGATGTAACAGCTCTAAACAGGAAGTAGAATCCTTGTTCAGGTGTAAAGGTTTTTATGAGTTAATCGGGTCCATCAGAGGTCAGAGGTCAAACTGTACACAAGTCTCTGTTCATGACACTGACACACACACACACACACACACACACATACACACACACACACACACACACACACACACACACACACACACACACACACACACACACACATGCATACACACACACACACACACACACACACACACACACACACACACATACACATTCACACACACACATGCATACACACACACTTGGATTAAAAACACATTCAGTCAGATATTGAGTAAACCCAGAGAGCACCACCCAATCACACGCAACGATGCTCTCACACACTTGGCGAGCTGTCAGCTGCTACACCCACAGTCACTGCCAGAAAAAATGTGTGTGAGTGTGTGTGTGTGAGTGTGTGTGAGTGTGTGTGAGTGAGTGTGAGTGTGTGTCACTCCCAGCAGATGTTTTTGGTGAAGCTGTGAAATGAATCTGTGGTGTTAGACAGTCCTTCAGGACATACACACGAAGCAGCGACATCAAAGCCCTGAAAACTGAAAGTCTCATTTTATGTCGTTTGAACACAGGCATCATCTTCATCATCTTCATCATCATCATCTTCATCATCACCTGCACACTCTGCTGCTTTCCTCTGTGTGTGTGTGTGTGTGTGTGTGTGTGTGTGTGTGTGTGTGTGTGTGTGTGTGCAGGTGTGTTCTGGCTGTAGTTAAAGCAGGCTGCAGCTCTCATGTCTGATGATGATGATGATGATGATGATGATGATGATGATGATGATGATGTGATGATGACTGTGGTCAGTCTTCATCACTGAGCTCGTGCTGGGCTCACGTGCACATAGTCTCAGGTCTCACCTGGTTCTCCCAACAGCAGATTCTTGTCTCCTCCCGGTGAATCCTCCACGGCTAATCCGCCCGCCGCAGAACTGTCGGTGCTCCGCTGGCCGCTGATCCGCCTCACGGAGCTCAGACAGCGGAGTGAGG